CAGCGACGGGTGCTGGGTAAGAGGTACACCCTGGACAGCATGCTAGTCAAGTGCTGGTATAGGTAACTGATTTATTGGACAAATTACATTCAGTGGCCATTTTATTATGTACACCTGCTCATTAAAGCAAATATCCTACTCTGGCTGCAATGGGATGTGTACAGGCAGGGTAAAGTGGTTCTCGTACTGTGTGGCTCAGCTATAGCATAACTGCTCTTGCCAGACGTGGTTGTTAGAGAATCTGAGAAACAGCCCGACTCCTGGGATTCTCATGCAGCACAGTGTCTGGGGTTTATAGGCAACGGCGTGATGAATGAAAAATGTCGAATCAGAAGTTGTTCTGTTGCCAAAAATCACCTTGCTAATAAGTTCACAGGAGATCGGCTAGACTCATTAAGGCTAACAATGGCAAGGAAAAAAATAAACAGCTCAGTATAACAGAGGGGTACAAAAGGCTTGTCCAAGTTCTTATCTGCCCTTGAAGTAGTTCTGAAGACAGAAGGGGAGGGGTTCCTTCCTGGCACCCGAGGCGATTCTGGGGGCCCCATTTAGAAGGTTCCATGGGGCCCCAAACTCCGCCTTCCCCATATATTACCTTTATTTTCCTGTGAAGTATAAACGTATAATATCAATAGAGTTTAATAAATGCAAGACCTTTATTTTTATTTTTGTGAAGAACAGAATACACAAGTAAAGCAGATTTCTCACTGCAAATTGCTATGTAACCGGCGGGCCTCGGGGGCCCCCTCCAAGCTTGGGGCCCCAGCCCATTGCCTGCCCTGCCTGTCCTGTCGCTGTGCCTCGGTCTGGCACTGCATAGGGTATGTACCTAATGAAGTGGCCATTGGCTGTAAATTAGAGTGGGTACAATTATGGCCTCACACTCCCCTGACTCTGCTTCTGCAGCGTCTACATCCTTTAGTCCTGCTTCTTCCTAGGATTCCCAGTCTCCTCACTCAGTTGATAAGCATGCGGTTAGGTGAACAGGTGTTTCGAAGATGGCAGTAGTGCGTGATTTTATGGGTGAGTGTGGGATGGGTTCCCGTCCGGGTTGTGTCGGCAGTTATACAAAATGGATGGATGTCACAGGAAAAAAGTCCAGCAAAAGGAAAAAAAAAATAAAACATTTTAATACTTGGCAGATATACAAATATATGTTGTGGCGGTGGCATGAAAAACAATATTCCTGAAGAATTATGTTTCTGACAATGATTATGTTGTGCGCACACTTTGGAGAGACAGTGCAGAAAAGTCTGAAAAACTATGTAAATGGATTCCAGACTGTACTGCTTGATAGAAACTTTATGAAAGTTACAGCAAAAAAGGTCATCTACTTTATTTTTTTCATTTTTGATTCCTACTTTACAGGGCAGAAAAGAAGATTCTTAATGTATTTGGGACAATAAAAAGTGTGCATGTTTTCATCAAATTTTCTTCTTGTTGTTTATAGCTTTATCATGTGATAATTGAGCCTTAAATTCTGGCCTGTCAGTATGCTGGGATGAAAGGAATCTATTCATGTAGGACTCAATAGCAGGTTTTGTCGGTGACTGGGACCTTTGATTGCTTTATTTTAAGCTGGGAGAAAATTTCCCAGAAGGAGCTGGAAGTTAAAAGCGCTACAGTTTGTTGGGGCAAACTGGTCCTTGGGGACAACAGACGGTGTACGTTTTTGCTCCCTCCAAACTCTCAGGGAATTAGCAAAGAGCAAAACTTATGAGTAGAGTTTAAAATTTTACTGTTTGTTTTTAAAAGTGTCGAATAGGGGAGCAGTAGCCTATGTCAGTGACCTCAAACATCCGTACCGCTCACCTAGAGCCCTGAGGTCAACCGATCAGCTGCTGCTCTCCATCCCAACCAGCTGCTTGAGGAGGAGAACAGCTTTCTCCCTGGCCGGGCCCAAGTTGTGGAACAGCCTCCCTCTCCATGTCTGATCTGCCCCCACCATTGAATGTTTTAAGTCCAGACTAAAAGCTCATTTATTTGCTGCGGCATTTGAGATAAATGTGCTGTGTACTTTACTACAATTTTTGTAAGTGTAATGTTTGTTTTATTATATGTGATATTTTACTTCATTTTGTTTTATGCAATTTGCTTATCCATTGCTTTTTATGCGTACTGTTTTTATTGATGTAAAGCACTTTGGTCAGCCACTAGATCTTTTCAACGGTGCTATATAAATTAAATGACTTGACATGAGAAAAAACGTGGACTGTCTGGGGGGCTGAAGGACTGGCTTAAGAAGCACTGCATTAGGGCAGTGAGGGGCTATTTTATGGGAGCTCAGCGGCTCCCTTTACGCCTCCCTGCATGTTATTCAAACTGAGGCATTTGGCGTCACCAGCGGGGCCTCTGACGAGCCACACGTCTGTCATTTCTGGTGCCATTCAGAAAACCGTGTCCAAGCCGGGTTTCTCATGCCAGCATCCGTGGGATGATTTACACCAGTGGGGTTTTCCAGACCGTACGAGGTCAGCTGAGGTGACTGGACGGCGCGTAAGGGAGGATGCCGCGGGGGATATCGCATGCACCACCTGAGACAGGGTGGGGGAGGGGGGATGTTTTTCCTCTTATTTTATATCGCTGCCAAGTGAGTCTAGTCTGATGCAGGCAGCCACTGGGTGCCAGCAAATCGTCTCAGCTGGGGGATTTCCGGAAGGCCGGCTGCTCCGCGCTGCATTGTCCAGATGACACGGGTGAGATCTGGACTCCTTATTCCGGAAAGAGGGAACATGGCTGTAGGAAGGGTCGGAACAGACCCCGATGACAGCGTGAGCGACAGCTGTAAAAACGGGACCGATAAGGATAAAATGATTTTGAATCCTCAGCCTACTTATGAGAATGTTTAGAGGAAGCACACTGATTTATCTGCCCCTGTTGAGGAGCCAGGCAGAGTCTCTTAAGCCAGTGACCATATCCTTAATAACAAGCATTTCTGACAAGTCAGGCAATTAATTAAGTGGATATATATATATATATATATATATATACACACACACACACACACACATACCCTGCAAGTTTATCAATGTATCACAGAGTAACTCCTTTTAAGCAGGAGACTGGAGGACTGGAAAGTAGTGTTAAGTATATTTTGGTAACATTGAACAAGTTACAATCTTTCTTCATGAATTCTCTCTTCATCTGTGTGTTGTCTTGATTCAATGCTTGATTCATCCCTCTTGTTTATTGAGGAAAGTAGAGGATATGCTGCTGTTATAGCTAAAACAATCTTGCGCAATATAATAATCACGTTTGTCATTTTTGAAAACTTTAACTCCTTTTTATATTCGTTCTTCAGACACTACGACTCAGATTTAAACTCATGAAAGATTCTCGTTTAAATGATACATAACCTATTTTATTTTGCTCCAAAAATTAAGAGATGTAATATTGGTTGTTGTACAGTACATGTTCACCTTTAAGGGAGTGTTATACCTCAGCCATTCTTGCTAGACAACAAAGAGGAAATAAGGTGACCAATGTTTTTTTTCCCCTCTTCAAAAGTCTGCCAGCAGTTACATTTTGGTACCAATAAAATTGAAACTCTATTGTTTTATTAAAAATATTTGCATGAATATCAGTTATTTTGCATGGAATGATTACAAGTAATAGAAAATTCTCATTGTTTGTTGAAGTATTTTTTGGTGAAAAATCACCATGTCTTCCACTATTACACTGTTTTGGTAAAACACAATAAACCGCACATAAGGGACCCCTCAGTCTACACCCATGCTGTTCAGTGACTGCACCTTGCCCTGTCTGGTGATTAATAATGAAGCATATCTTGCTCCCATATCACAGTAGAATGGGAGATGTATTACCAGTCTGCCAAACGTACTTTCTAACTCACAGTACATATAAGACTTACTTTTTTTCTTTTTCACACCGAAAAAAACATTCAACTATATGTTTAAGTACTTTGTTATGAAGCCCCAGTTTATTGCTGATAGATGATATATACGTACAATCAAACAAGCCTCGGATCTCGTGGGTCATAGCAGCCTCAAGCTTCAGCACTGTCACATTTGTCATTGCGATGTGAGCTTATCGTCATTCAGTATTTGGGAACATCATATTTTCCAGTGGGGGGGACATCCATGTGGTGTAAATTCACAGTTATGGGCCGTGCTTGTCTTCCTCAAATCTGTGTTTCATTTCCATTTGTTTTCTGGATGAACCAGATGGGCAATAAAATGCAGAGACAGACGTTTCAGTGCTATGAAGAGCACTGCATTACGATGGCCTCATACTTCAGGAAGTGTGAATTTGAACATGCAATTTTATATCTGACTGGAGCAGGCACAAATAGGCCTGCATTTAACATTTGTTCATGAAGATTTGCGGAAAAAAAATCAGATTTTACCAAAAATATCAGCAAAAATTTCAGTCCTCGATTTTTTTTTTTTTACCATTATGTTTCAACTTTTTATCCATCCATCCATCCATCATCTTTCCAACCACTTATCATGGTCGTAATTCATATGCTATTCAATATTCATATGTGCTGTTGCTTAAGGGTTCCCAGTTCTTTTGCAAACATTTTTTCCCCCATTGCTTTATGGAACATCTTCAGAACCATGGACAGGTCCACAGCTCCAAACTGCCTTTCTGTTTGGCATAAAAATGAAGCCCTTAGCAAAAGACAAAAGGCATACTAGAGGAAATTTATTTATTGGGATATATAAGGCTATATCTTTTGTGACTTATACGGATGTACAGTTCTCAACCTATATTGAAACTATGTATAGTAAATTGTAGTAAATATAAACTATATGTGTGTGTGTGTGTTTATATATACAGTATATGTGTGTGTGTGTGCGTGTGTGCATACGAATGTATGTACGGGCGAATGTGTATGTGTGTGAGAGAGGGAGTGGGAGTGTGAGTGTGTGTAGAGCAGCGAATCAGCAATATCCACACGCTGATCCCTCTCTCTTTTTACTCCGGGATACACATCTTGTTCCCCAGGCTCCAGGTACCGGAGCTGAGAGCGATAAAGCCACAGGGTAACGTCACTCCCCTCCAGTCTTCCATTCGCCACCGCCAGCCACATCGCTCCGGAGGACAGCCGCACCGCATCCATTTTCGGCGCTATTTGAAATGTTTATCCAACTAAATCCTACCGCATCTTTTTCCCCGATTCCTTTTTTTGGTGTCGGCGAGGTGTTTCTACAAGGCGAGGTTTTTCACCCCGGAAAGAGAGTATTTGAATAGCTTAGAAGAAGAAGCAGAAAAAAGGTCGCAGAAAGTAGAAGATTGCGTGCAGCGAGGATGAATAGTGACAAAGGGGTGATCGCTAGGCTACAGCTATTGTAACTTACGAACGGGATCGCGGCGATAGCGTGTTTACATTGGGACAAGGGAAGATATTTTTTAATCATGCCTGTTCGCCGAGGTCATGTTGCGCCACAAAACACGTTTCTGGGCATCATAATACGGAAATTCGAGGGGCAGAGTAAGTATTATGCAAGCATGCAAACCTATATAGTATTGCACATGGTGTACATCTTATATGCTTCAGTTAGAAAAGTATTTGTGGAAAGTGAAGCATCGACAGTATTAGCTCGTACTTTTTATGTGCTGAGACAATCAACAATAGATGTAGTCGGGCGCAATTACGAGATGAATGACTGATCGTCTTTCTTTGTACTTCGTGGAAAACCCATTGTTACTGCTTCTTTATAAATATTAATAATGCTTTAAAGCCGGGCAAATTAAAACACATTGATTGTCAGTTGTAATTAATACATAAAAAATAAATATATGATCAATTGCATGTCTGAAAAACATTTAGCAATGTATTAATACATTTAACACTGTGTTAATATGTGTGCATATATGTATAGGCGCACGCATTGACAGCGTAACAGTCTGACAAGTATAACAGTTTCTGTTTGTACAAGTCAATTAAGTTATTTAACAGTGCAATAAAACGCAGGTAAGACGTGCTGTCGTTATAATATTACGATCTGGGCCTCGCATGGATAAAAATAAACACACGCAATTCAGTGCAAACTCTCTAGCAGTGGAGGTTTAATTCAGCGATATTTATAACTGCATAACTGTGTGGGCTGCATTTTTCCATATCTAATAACAAGAGTTTTACAGATTTTCAAAACTGCATCCAGTCCTAACATCCTCTCCATTTGCTTTGCAGATAAGAAGTTTATCATAGCCAATGCCAGAGCTCAGAACTGTGCGATCATCTACTGCAATGATGGCTTTTGTGAGATGACCGGCTTCTCCAGACCGGACGTCATGCAGAAGCCGTGCACCTGCGACTTCCTCCACGGCGAGCTCACCAAGAGGCACACCGTTGCCCAAGTGGCTCAGGCCCTGCTAGGCTCTGAGGAGAGGAAGGTGGAAATCACCTACCACCGCAAAGATGGTGAGTGCTGAAGCCTTCTCAACACTCAGACACCCTGCTTTCTTCGTGGCCATTCAGAAACTCAATCCTTGTACCCTACCAATTGCTGTAGAGCAGTGTTTCCCAATCCGGTCCTAGAGGACCCACAGGCAGTCAATGTTTTTGCTCCCTCCGAGCTCCCTGCCCGGACAGTCCACATTTTTGCTCCCACTCAGCTGGGAGGGAGCAAAAACATGGGGAACACTGCTCTAGAAGCCTTGGTGCTTGACTCTGCCATATAAACAGGCAGCTTAGAGGAGTAGAAGCTACAACAGATCATAGTTACATGCAAAACTGCGATTTACAACAGAATGACTGACTGTCAGGTGCCTGAGATTTGTGGTTTGATTATTTGAGGTCACTTGCGTGACCTAGTGGTGAGAGAGAAAGGTTTAATCAAAGGAGTCGTATTTCTTGTCTAGGAGTGAGACAGCTGACCTCTCACATTGACCAGTGAAGCTGCCAAGTAACAAAGAGATTGTATAACAGGGTGTAATCAGGGGTGTGGCAGATGTACTGGCGGAACACCAAACATTACAGCTCCGCATGCTCTGTCACAGGAAGACGGCTCAACAATATTAAAAAAATTATCTTATCTTTTCCTCTATTTCACAGCTATCAGTGGGGAAGCACTTCCCTTTGAAATAAAAATTTAATAAAATTTTACATTGGGCAGGTGGTGAATCTATTTCCAGTTGCCACTGGATCAGGTCACACATCTATGGTCCAAAATGGAAGGTGTTCGTGTGAACATACATGAAGAGGAAATTGGAGATTTACAGACTTACAGAAGGTTCATTGGAAAGCTCTCAGAGGGAATTCAGTTCAATTCAATTTATTTTTATATAGCTACTTTCACAACAATTGCCCCAAGGCACTTAACACGGGCGTGTTGTGATGCATCACAGCATCATTAAGAAAGGAAAGGATTGATTAAGAAATGAAAGAAAGAAAGCCAGATAACAATGGAGGAGTGAAACCAGAAACTTCTAAGTAGGGAGAAAAGAAACTCCAGGGGGGTCCAAGGTCAACAAATCCCCCCCCCCCCCCGCCAGGGTATGCTAACATTATTGAAAAAGAAAGAGTGGGCAAGGGCAAAGCCAAAGTCCATCAGCGAGTCAGTTCTCCATACTGGCCTGTGATGGGTGGCAGACTGAAGTCTGCACCCAAAATGTTGCAGTTCGCAAGTCACACCCACGACTCCACACTGGGCACCATCCAGACATGTGGGAAGTAAGGCAAGGAGCATGGATGGTCAGAGCATGAATAGACACATCAGTGGACAAGCATAATAGATAAAAATGGCATATACGCCAGCATCAGCAGCCATAGATACAGTGTGTTAAGTTGCAGAGAAGCTGAACTGAAGCAATAGGAATTCCTACGATCTCTGACATTGGTTTACCCGAATTTAATTCAGTATTGTGCTTTTGAAGGAAATTCAAGAGCTAATGTTACTGGAGGCGCTGTAAAAGTGCAACGTTTTCCTCTAGCCCCAACGGAGCCTGTGCATGTCCTCACACGTTCTCCAAAATCTGATCTCTAGTAGCGTAAATTTTCCCAAATGACAAAAGTGGGACGTAAGGTGCCAACAAGATGGATGGCTTCTTATTAAACCACGAAATGCTACCTTGAGACTGAGGGGTGTGGTGAGGATATAAGACACAAATCACAGAGATATGATTCAGTTCACCGCAGAAGTAGGCAGGCTACACCCAGGCCGGAATGGGTGCTTTGCTATTGGTCAGGAGTGAGGGAGGGGGGGTATTGTATGCTCAGCTCCCGCACAGAAGGGACAGTGTTTGGGGGGTGCGGCCACGGAGAAGCCAGGTGGGCTGCTACTAATGGAGCGACTGGGGCAAGGAGGAGAGAAGTGCTACTTCAGGAATTTTTACACTTACGCCATCAGAATAGACTCTCACCTGCATCATCGCTAACACAGTTTTAATGAGGACACAAATGCCGTACATGATATTGATTTACAGTCCCGCTTTACGGTGAAGATAAATCATTGTGGGTGTGCTATGACGCCAAGGTTTTGTCAAGTCAAGATGCGACCAATCGCTGTCAGAATCGCTGTCAAATCATGAAGCATCCGTAATCATGCGACGGTATTTTATCATCAGTGGCGTCAGAGGGCCATGGAGATTCTGCAGATTCTGGGAGCCCAGAACTTAATAGGGGCCCTTAAATCAATCACCCCCCTCTCCCCCCACGCTAGTTGGGGCTTCAAGGTGACGTTTTGTCAGGGGGCCCAGAATTTCTAAATATGTGCGTGTTACTTGTATGTATAACAAAGCCTCCCGTAGGCACTGTGGGTTGTGGGTTCGAATCCCACCCAGGCCCCGATCTTTGTGAAGTTTCCATGTTCTCCCAGTCCGTATTCCGGCATCCTTCAGCTACTCAGGTTTCTCCTGCAGTCTGGTGTCATGCAGTCAGTGGGTGATTCTGAATAGCTCATTCTGTGTGGGCGCCCTGTCATGGAATGCCTTCCTCTTCAGGGTTCCCCTGCCGTGTCCTTTTCTAGGATGGGCTCCAGGCTCTCTGGATAAGTGGTTCAAATATAGATGGATGCATAATTTTTCCTTTTGGAAGAGTTTTCAGAATGAAAATGTGCATGTGGGTGCTTGTTCAGTTAGCGCTCCGATCCCTGTGGAGCCCCCGGTTGTCATGGCAGTGACAACCCCCTCCGTGCCCCATTGGATTTTCATATCCCCGGGTTCTAAGGAAAGGTCTATGACTTGAACTCTCACGCCTACCCTGGGCTCAAATTGACCCCAAAGGCACATGTCAGGTGAATTTTCTCATAGTAACATAATTATTGTAGGAGCGTGTAAGAGTTAATTCATTGAGGATTTTCCCAGTGTGGGCCCAGCTTCAACAGTTTAATACGTGTCACTTCTTTGCAATGTCTGTTCGGCGAACCATTAGTAAAGTACAATGTAGACATTTCCTCAAAATTTTTCACTGCATATTTTCTTTATTGTCTCTGTTAGCTTTTTAAAAGTAGATGATTTTATCTCAATTGACTAAAACAGCTTAGTTTTAAGTTTTACCTCTTTATGGTGTGGGAGTTTTACTCAAGAGTTCCTTCCTTTGAAAATTTGCGTAGTCTTTATTAGACAGGCACTCTTATCCAAAGTGACATACATTTTTTATGAAAGCAGGGTCAGACAGTCCCTGCAGCAATTAGGGGTTAAGATTCCAGCAATGAAATCACTCTGCCAACCCTGGGATTTGAAACGGCAACCTTCTGATCACAGGCACAGCATCCTAACCCGCCGAGCCCCACAGCAGCCCCACACACCGAGCCCCACAGCAGCCCCACAGCAGCCCCACACACCGAGCCCCACAGCAGCCCCACAGC